GATGCTATTTCCACCCTGGAAAAATCTGGTGTATACTCCGTTCCCCTGCAGAATCCAATATCAGGACTATGCACCAATTATATAGGAGCGACTACGAGAATGCTGGCTGCTCGCATATCTGAACACCAACGTTCGGTGGCACTTGGCAATTGTGACACGGAACTTTCCAAATTGGTGATACAACACCACCACGTAGCGCTTTGGAATCGAGTGGAAATACTCAAACGCTGTGATGAAGGGAACTTGATATACATTTGGGAGGCCCTCCTCACAAAACTGCTCTCCCCGTGCAACACCCCTACCCTCGATTTACCGGACGTCTGGATTAATTTATTCAGGCGGTTAAAAAACCAACAATAATTTTGCATTCTCTTCCCGCACCTCCTACATGATTCAAAGCACATACATGTCGGCCCCTTTATGTGCGTCTTTTTACGTGTGTTATGTATTTTAAATTATGTCCCGCGCTTTAATATTTAAAATTTAAATTTTAACATAAACTTGCACTTGTGGATCTATTCCGATCGGTTTCTATGCTGTCTATGTTAAGGCGCATGCGTGCCAAAAATTTTATACGTATTTACAAAGTGTTTTAATTTAAATTCTAAAAATTTAATTGTTCTTAATAGACATCTAATAGGCTCTCATGTTATGCATGTTAAGGTGCACGTGCGCCAATTTTTCGCGTTCACATAATAATTAATAGCCACTCCAATCGATGTTTTTGTTTTAAAACGCATGCGCACCAATTTTAAATGTTTAATTCTAAATATTTAAATTTAAAATCTCTTTTTTGTATGTTCAAAAAACGGCTAGTATCGATAATGTTTTAAATTTAAATGTATGGTTCGAATTCTTTATTCGAATTTAATTTTACCTGAAGACGACGTGCTTATTTACGTCGAAAGCGCTCGTAAATTAAAAATAATTTCAAGTATATTTAACGCCTCATAGACTGACGTTCTTGGAAGTTTTGATTGACATAAGTTGGCGTGACATCCAACCCGTGAACTCAATACACCTAACAAGTCTCTCTTTCAAAAACATGTGCCGAAACTTCTATTATTTTAAAGCTGACCCCTAGTGTCATAACATGGCAATGGTGGACAAAATTAAAAAAAAAAAAACACATGACATTTCCTTAAAATCTAAAGCCTAGTTAGGCTATAATAAATACAGAAAACTTTAAACTCACTTTTCTTGTGAATGGTTGAGAGTTGTGTCAAATGGTTTTATTATTAATTTATAGTAAGATAAATGTGTTTAAGAAACACACAAGAATAACAACACAGTTTCAGATTAACAAAAAAAGTAAGGTAAATATTACAATACATGTATGAAACTTGATGAAATCCAAGAGGACCATCCTGAGCCTCCCCATATAATTTTACTATACATATATGCAATATATAAATATTAGTTTTTCTAATCATCATCAACATAATCTGGCTCAAAATTAACTATAAAACTTTTTAAACTTATACTTTGTTTTAAATTCAATCTTAAGCTTTTTGTATTTATTCAAATAATCATAATGTTGTCTACATACCATTTTTAAGTAATTCATAAAAAATTGATATTTTCTACCATTTTATGGAATATCTGCAAGCTCAGCATAAACCAGGAATTGTATATACCACACTAGGCAAAGTTCTTTATTGACATAAAACACTGAAAAATTTAAAAACTGGGTTGTCATATATATTATTTATATTATTCTTATAACAACAACAGCAATTATTTATTGTGACATTGTCACAATGCCAGGTTGCAATTTTTAATCATATTTGTAATTAATTTAACTTAAAATATATGATTGCCACCTCAAATTAATAGTGTCTTGCCCCTGTACATCATACTTTTCCTGTTAGCAATAGAGTTGTGCAATAGGGAAATGCATAAAAATTTTTAAATTAAAATAACATGACTTCCAGTGTAAACTGGAAGTTTGTATATACTTAATTGGACCTCATGCCCTTAAGCTTTCTAAATCTGATCTCTGCTTTCATCTATCTAATTCTGTTCTCGCAATTAAGAAAAGAGAGATGAACGACAATGGAAATTTATAGGTCTAGAATTTTTTCAAATTGCAGCCCAATTAGAAGAAAGCAAACATTTTCATCCATGCTTAATGGATCCTCCCTCCCATGTCAGTCCTCTTTTAACATGTGGTCAGCAATCACTTATTCCTAGTAAGTTTTTGGTCCAAGCTGTTTGTTTTAACAGCTGTATTCAAACCATGAAGGACAGTTAGCCTGATGATGCCCATTAAACATAGGTGAAAAAAATTTACTTACTTCTAATTTATTGCTGGATTTTGTTATATGTACAGTGCTTATTAATGTATACCCAGTTTTGAATAGTTTTACTTATTACTGATATGAGAAATAACAAAAATTAATTTCTAAGAGCAATAAATAATGCACAATTTACACAAAAGACTGATACCACATAAAACTGAAACATATAATCAAAACTAACATTCATATGTGAAATGGAATCTTGAAACATATCCTTCATTTTTTTTTAATTACTGTTATTTATAAAAAGAATGAAAACAAAATTTTATTCTGTGTTTTCTTTGATCATTGATAAAGGAACAATTTACCTTCTCCGCTATTTTATTTAAAAATCTTGTCATTTCCACTACTAATTTTTTCAATCCCAATGTGGCTGATAACACAATCATTATCAATTATTGTTTTTGGTCTTAACTAGTGCTCTAAATGTTAATCATCATTTCAACTGTAATTTGTTTACATTGCAACAGTTCAAAGTGCAGACATTGTTACTTCAATTATATACCAAGTAGGATTTCTCAAACGGGATCCCGGGATACCAGTTGTTTTTTTTAACCCGAGAAATATCCCAAGAAATCACGCAAATTTTTTAAAAATTCACTTTTTTCTTATTTTGTGTTAAGGTTGAGGAAATTTCACAAATAGAAAGTATAATTGACTCAAACAGTCAGAATACATTTGTATTTATTAATTTTAAACCTACTTATTAGTTTTTTAAATTTTTGCTCATTATGGCATGTCACAAATGATCAATAATCAATATGTGGCTTATCTGTGGCAAGACTGAAAATTCTTTACTGNAATAGAAAGTATAATTGACTCAAACAGTCAGAATACATTTGTATTTATTAATTTTAAACCTACTTATTAGTTTTTTAAATTTTTGCTCATTATGGCATGTCACAAATGATCAATAATCAATATGTGGCTTATCTGTGGCAAGACTGAAAATTCTTTACTGTGTGCGTTTTTCACCTGTAGCCTGGAAGATTTCTAGTTCATTTTCGAGATTGTAGTATTTCTTTTGCTCTCTAGTATTCTTGATTTGTCTACTCGGCTGCTTTAATAGAAACATCAAGCTTATAGCCTGATAATTTGGCAGTTCATTCATCTTTAATAATCAGGTTTATGAAGGAAAACTTCATATTTGCAGACTTTGTACTCATTTGTATCCTTGCCCAATTTGCACAATTTGGTGTTATGCAGTTATTGAAGCTACTGGGCATGGTTAAAAATTAAGACAGCATAAGCACAAATATTTAGAATAATTGTGCTTATGCTGTCTTAATTTTTAACCATGCCCAGTAGCTTCAATAACTGCATAACACCAAATTGTGCAAATTGGGCAAGGATACAAATGAGTACAAAGTCTGCAAATATGAAGTTTTCCTTCATAAACCTGATTATTAAAGATGAATGAACTGCCAAATTATCAGGCTATAAGCTTGATGTTTCTATTAAAGCAGCCGAGTAGACAAATCAAGAATACTAGAGAGCAAAAGAAATACTACAATCTCGAAAATGAACTAGAAATCTTCCAGGCTACAGGTGAAAAACGCACACATCTGTCTCTCATAAATGCATTAAAGACGATTCCACTCACATGAATTGAATCGAAAAGGGCATTCTTGGTAGCAAAACTTTTCATTACTAAAATAAGAATCAGATTCACTGATTGGAGTATTGACCATCTTTACTTTTTAAAATCTTATTATAAAAATTTACAATAATATTTTATATTATGTTTTATTTAAAAAATGAAAATTACCTTTTAAGTTAAAAGTTTGATCTAAGTTAATTTTTTTTTTAAATTTTCAACTCAATTCAAAGCATTTGTTTGTTGTTGTTGTTGTTGTAGTATGCAGTTTCCAGCAAACTTTAATAAATTTTTTCTATTTGTGAAAATTTCTACGTAATTCAAAGGTAATTTTTAATATATATCTTAAACAGCATTATTAATATGATTTTGGAGGTTGCAGAACATATTAAATTACTTTATAAAATGAAAAATAATTATATCATTTGATTTCAAGATATTTTGTATATCTTAAAAATAATTAATTCTATCCCAGGAAACAGTTCACTTTTATCCCGGAATCCCAGGACAAGCAAAAGACTGGGAAATGAGAAACCCTAATACCAAGTATTATTAAATATTACACTGCAAAATTAGCAAGCAAATAAACATTGAATGAATTATGTATTAATTAATAACATTTATACAGTGGAACCCCATTTATCCAGAACCCATTAATCCAATCTCCGGTTTATCCAGAATAAGATATATAGGTTTTTCGTATGTCTGTCTATGTGAAAAAAATTAAAGAATTAACTTGTAATTAGTATATTCTTGCCTGAATAAAATGTTGCAGCTGTAAGAATACTGTTTTCCCTTGGCTCAATGCCAATTTTGAATACCTGTGATTTTACCAAGAATCTGGTAACAAATATAAATACAGTACAGTATATCACAATTACTTCAGTTCAAATTAGTCCTCTGTTTCTCTACAGAGTGCTAAGTCTAATTACCAGTTAACCTTGAAAAAAGTCATTAAGAGAAGTTCTACCCCACACAATTGGCCAGGAAACTTATGCATGTGTACTGTACCAGATGATAGAAAACAATGAACTGATACTGTATGTAAATATGTCTTTTGCTTTATACCAGGGCTGCCCAATTCATTTTGGAGGTGGGCTATAATTTCAATTACATGTCAGTCGGCAGGCCACCTAGTGAATCATACTTGCTTACACTCATGATTCTTCTATAAATGTACTAGTAGCCTGCGACGCCCCCTAGTGGGCATTCTTTACAAATTTCCATGAGGCATGGTTCCTTTGACTTTTTTGTTCCTATCAATATGCTCTACAGCTCTGTTAAAATCCGATTGGTAAGATTTACCCTCTGAATGAAGAGGTGGCGACCCACAAACCGTAGACCCCTGTACTAACAATAAAGTCAAAGGAACCATACCCCTACTCGCGACCCTTCGAGAGATATATATAAGCCCCTGAAATAATAAATTCCTATTACAAATATACTGAATTATTTATATTATTATGCTCTACAGCTCTGTTAAAATCCGATTGGTAAGATTTACCCTCTGAATGAAGAGGTGGCGACCCACAAACCATAGACCCCTGTACTAACAATAAAGTCAAAGGAACCATACCCCTACTCGCGACCCTTCGAGAGATATATATAAGCCCCTGAAATAATAAATTCCTATTACAAATATACTGAATTANTTGTTTGAATAGTTACATATACATAAATTTAGGTTAGGTTAGGGAAGACTTCCCTGCAATGTGTGATCTTGTTTTGCAGGTTTTAAGCAGATTTGGCTCAACATATATTTGCAAAAAGTTTTTTTCTACTCTACACTATGTAAAAAATAAATACCGCAGTTCTTTAACTGTCTCATATTTCAAATTTGATATTGTTTCTTCTGTAAAAGTTCGTCCAATGGAGAATTATTTGTAATAAAATAAAATTGAAGACAAAACTGTCCAAAAAAAGATCACCATTTATTATTTGTGTTCCAAGACTAAAACATTTTTGGTGACTGACCTTCTTTTTTAGGCTACTTGTCGCTATAAAGTTTACAAAAAGTCCTTTTAAAAAACACAAAACACATCCAATTAAAATTTTTAAAAAATTTCTGAAAAAGGAACTGGTGACATACAGTTGTCTTGCTTACTTCCATCATACCTTCTTTTGGGGTTTCTTTTTCTTTTTATCTACTAAAGATCAGCGCTGGAAAATGTAGATTTTTAGAGAAGTTGCCCCCTGGTGACGATATATGTAAAAATTTTTTCTGTAAAAGTTCGTCCGATGGAGAATTATTTCTAATAAAATAAAATTGAAGACAAAACTGTCCAAAAATTAAAATTAAAAATTTTAATTGGATGTGTTTTGTGTTTTTTAAAAGGACTTTTTGTAAACTTTATAGCGACAAGTAGCCTAAAAAAGAAGGTCAGTCACCAAAAATGTTTTAGTCTTGGAACACAAATAATAAATGGTGATCTTTTTTTGGACAGTTTTGTCTTCAATTTTATTTTATTACAAATAATTCTCCATTGGACGAACTTTTACAGAAGAAACAATATCAAATTTGAAATATGAGACAGTTAAAGAACTGCGGTATTTATTTTTTACATAGTGTAGAGTAGAAAAAAACTTTTTGCAAATATATGTTGAGCCAAATCTGCTTAAAACCTGCAAAACAAGATCACACATTGCAGGGAAGTCTTCCCTAACCTAACCTAAATTTATGTATATGTAACTATTCAAACAACAATCTGAAGAAGCACCCAACAATTTAATTTTAATACACAAAAGTCAACTCAAAACTAACGGAACAAGTGTAATAAATGCATAGGTTAGGTATTAACAGCAGTGTGGTGGTGACTCAAGTCATAGTTCATTCTGTGTTCAACCAATTGACCAATCACGTGGCAGTTGGCATAATTGGTTGCATGACATTGTGTGCTACCAACTGGTGACAGCTGACCACTACTGTGGGCAGGCAAATTCAAATGTGTTGATGGGCACCTTTGTGGCTTGCTGGCCTGGGTTTGGGCAGCCTTGCTTTATACTGTTAATATTGTTATAAAAGTATACATAATGTACTGTACATCTAAACTGTGTTATTTATGTCGTTAACAAATTTTCTGGATTATCTGGATTTTTGGTCATCTGAATTGGGCCTGGTCCCGTTTGGGCCGGATAAATGGGATTCCACTGTAATTAAAAACCTGATTTATATATTTTTTAATACTGTTTTAAATAAAACTAGAATTTTCACTAAATGAAGCTTTACATACACCACTTAATGCTATCAGCATAACAGAGTCCAAATGTGATTATAAAAGTCCATAGATATTACTGTATTATATATTAAATTAAATTAATACAATTTTCACATTTTGTATATAAATTCTTAATGCTGCTTATCCATGTTTATATATTATGCATGTTCACAACACTAGGTACAAATCAATTTTAACAGATATATAAAAGTAAGTATATAAATCATCTTAGATCTTATATTATAGGTTTATAAATTAAATTTATTTAGTCATAACATGCCCAGGGCCCCATACACATTTATCCTTTTTTTTTTAAATACTCTCTCTTAGAAGCTCAACTATAAACACAAACTTATCAGATAGAATAGTTCTTATATTTGAAATCAAATGAACAAATTCAGCATCCTAACTAGCAGGGCTGTGGAGTCGCATAAAAATCTACCGACTCCAACTCCGACTAGGGGCGGACTTGTTACCAAAAGAGACCTGGAAATTCTGATGTCATCACGTGACCTCAGAATAAAAGATTCAATAAATAGAGTTCTAATAAAGATAGAGCATAGAAACTTTTTATTCCAAAGCTAAAAGATTTCTCTAAGTAATATATAAATATGTATTCAATAATTTTTACTTTTCCGGCTGTTATATATAACAGAAGAAAAGTGTAGCTCTCGGTCAAAAAATGACTCCTCCCAAATTTTTACATTTTTGGACTCAGGACACTGAAATTTCGAGATATGCAAAAGATTCAAGGTTTTTTTTCTATATGTGTGGATGTTAGACTATGTGTGGGGGCATGATTTTGTTCACCCTGTTTGAAGCCTAATAATTTTTATGGTCAGAGTGGTCAGAATCAGAGTCAGATGGTTTAACACAGGAGTTATTAAGCGTCAAAGTGTTTGAACTAAATCATGTCCCCATATACATTCTGGCGTCTTAGGCAAGAACATCTTAACGGGTTTTACTGTACTATTATAAAATGGCAAAAGAGCTTACTTTGAGGGTAGAGACAAGTTTTATTTTATTTTTTTAAATTTTGAACACTAATAATGAGTAAAATATTCATTAAGAGATATGACACATGACCACTTTTATGTCTTCATCCTATCGACCTTTAATTAAAAACCAAAATTTGATAGTATTAATGCCCCTTTATACGCAAGCGACAGTGCCACATTTCATTTCTTAAACTTTACCCATTCTGAGCTATTGTTTAATATCTCAGAACAGAAAATAAAGAAATTAAACAAATTAGACGTCAACACACACACGCGTGCGAATTTTTCCTCTTTTATTGACTTTTTTGTGGGGTTCGGGAGGTCTCGAAATGTGTAGATTTGGAAAAAAAAAAACCTGGAGGGTCAAATTTGACATGATTCCAATACTTTTCCGTCTTATATACATAACAAGTTGGTAAGTAAAAAGGAGTCGGAGGATTTTTTAATGACTCCGACTCAGGCTAAAACACCAAACCTCCATGACTCCGACTCCACAGCCCTGCTAACTAGGGATTAATAATAATTTACCAACTTTTTTATTACTGATTTTTAGTGATTGAGTTATTAGTTTTAAAATTTTCACTCTAAGTGCAAAAATTAAAGTATTAGTGATTGCTTAGTTGCCAACTTATCAGTGAGTTGGTAACTAAACAATCACTAGTGCACTATGTCCAATTGTATTCCCTGTCTTCTATTTTAAATAGCAACAATTTCATTGACTAAAAACAGAACATTTTATAATTTTTTAATTGCCTCAATTAAAAAGTCAAATTCAAATAAATGCATCCCATTTTGCAAACTAAAATCATTATTGTACTCTAGGTATTATGAGTAAAGAAACAAATTGCCAAAATGTCCAGCTTAGTGCTGTAATATGATACTTTAAAAATTGTAAAAAACTGTAAAGTAATTATTTATACTTCTGCTTCTATTCCATTTTTTTTTTTTTTAATTTTAATATGTAACAAGTTCAGACACCCACTGAGGAGGGAAATATTGTAATTTCCGTAATGCATCTGGGTAAAATAAAGTTGTTGGTTGGCTAATATTTTTGGAGTTTGTAGATGTGATAAGACATCATTAATTTCCTAGAAAATAATGGTGTCTGAACCGATCACATATTGAAATGTAAAGCAATAGTTTAAAAGAAAAATGACAAACTACATTTACAGTTTAAATAAATATTTGATGCTCCTATGTCTAATATATAAAAATATAAATATATGTAAAACTATGTACAAATAAATATTTGACTAAAAATTATTACGTCTACCTATTTTTATCAAATTTACCAGTAAAAAATATGAGATTACCAGTAACTTAATCAAATCATTAATTTATCTCTCTTGAAATTTTGGGATCTTATTTATTGTGAGAATGAGAATGGTTTTTAGTGATTGAGTTATTTAAATATTTTTCAAAGTTGCTTTTCTATCAGAGCATTGAACCATGTTCTATTATGTCATGGATCTGACTGATCAGTCTTGTTTATATATTTTAATAAAACACAAATAATTTAAATAGGAAAATCATGCCAGATAATTCTTAATAGAAGGAACTTTTAATAGTCAAAAGCACATAGCTAAACAAGTTTATATATGATCCTGACTCATCTAACAAGTAAGTCAACATTCAGAAGTTGATCAGCTGATTCTATAATAAAATTCTCAATGACTAAATCACAATTCTTATCTGAAAAATACACAAAGATATTAAGTTACTTATTTTCATTATCACTACTGGTTTTTAATTCTCTTTTAATTATTTTAAGGATTTGTATATTCTTTGTTCAAATAGTAGTCGGGAGGTTTGCATTTTCAAACATTATTTTATGTAAGACGCAATTTGCATTTGTTGTACAAGCATAAATATTGATAAATATCAACAAAATTATTCGCTATACATCTAATCAGTGTGTAAATTTAAACATATTTTCGTAATAATAGTGAAAGTGTGTATGTTCATATTAACATATTAAATTTTCTAGCACTATTCCTTCTGTAATCTGAATAGAAATGATTAATCAATTTGAAATACTTCTTTATAATTTAATACTTAATACATTACAATACAATTAGATTATTTTATTTTTGAATGCATCTACCCTAAAATTTTTTGTTAAAAAAGGAAAAAAAATTATAATAATCGTCCTAACTTAGTTATTCCAGTAAGATTATTGTTTGCAGGTTTTAAACTTTACAATTACAATCTAAAATTAATTAAAACACTATACATTAATTCCATAGGTTATTAAGAATTATAAAACACATTTTAGCTATAAATAAGTAAAACATATTAATCTAATTTAATTATAATAATGTAAGTTATAATCTCTGTTAAACAAAATTTCATCGTTTTATCTATCATTTCTGTAGTTAAACCAATTTGATAAATCCACTTCACATAATTCTACTTTTAAATATAGTTTCAATTACCTCTTATTTTATTTAAACAACAACAAATACTATATCATAATAACAATTTAATGTACTTTAAACCATTGTATATAGATGCAAAATAAAAAAGACACTAAATCTTACTTTATAATTCAAATGTCTCAACATATTTTTTAAGTTTTCTTCATTTGCAAAATTTCCTTTCCACTGTAAAGGTACATTCCTCATCCTGACAGCTGCCATCTTGGATTTTGATAACGTAATCTGGCAAATATGTAAAATTAATTCACTATTTTCAATGTAACAACAAGAAATTTGATAATTTGTTTTAATACAATTTTAAATTAACTCAAAACATAATTTATTGATTATATTCAGAAAATTTTAATTTAAATTGTAATTCCATTTCAATGTATTTTTTTTTAATCCTAATTTTCAAACAAATTTTTTCGCTCGATCGGGATTGACAGATTCTGTAATTTTATATCATATATTTAAGAACAATAAGCTTATTAATATGTTTATTTTATAAATACCATGCGTAAACATTTCTAAAAAACCTTAATGACATATTTATTATTATATTATTATATACTTATTGATGTAGATGCAGCGTTTGTCTTTTTACGTTTTAATTTTAAATTCAGGATATTTGTATCGCGCTTCAAACTAATGTATATGCTCCTGAAAAAATATATAAATAATATTTTTAATAATAATTTATAAATATTATATTTATAAAAGTTCAAAAGACATGATCGATTTTTTGGCTATTTTTAAATTTACTTTTAGTAACGGAGGAAAACGAGCACATTGGTTTATGGTTTCACGTCTGCGGGTTGTCATAAGTATTAATTAAAGTTTTATAGGGTTTATATAATCAGTATATTTTTGTTTTTTGTCAAAAAATTAGAAAAATGACAGCCTTTGAAGGTTTGTGTTTTTATTTAATGTAATGCAGTTATTTTTAAAATATTAGTTTTTTCAGTTAATATTATTTATAAGGATTTTCAATTTAAATGTTCTGTTTTACATCTTAATTAACGTTGTTTTTATGGTAATCGTTAGATAATAATTATCGTTTTTATAAATATAAATAAATATAAATTTATATTGAGAGTTAATTATATGAAAGTCAAAAGTAAACTAATTATAATTGTCACTTGGTGTTTAAAATAAAAATTAAAAAAAAACTTACTAATACACCTTATCTTGCAGCCGAAGTTTATTACTTCAAACGTTTTCGGTCATGTTAAACGACCTTTCTCAAGAAAAAGAAAGCAAATACAAGATAAAAACTGTAAAAATCAAATGCTTCGTACAAACGAACAAGCTTTTTGAATGTTTTTGAACTAGCCTATAATCCGTTGCAATTTATGACATCAGTTTTAACATTGCAACAGAAGTATAAACAATCCTAAAGTTTACATAAATATCTAAAATCATAAGTACAGAGAGTTACCATCTCAGATCATCATGCATAAACATATAGCATAGGATATAAAGATGCATAGTATCTGCTTCCTCCGATTATTAAGGCTTTATATTAAGCTTGAGGACCATGCTGCCAATATTTTTGTCAATTCTCGAAAGTTGATTGCAAGGCCTTTATGGCCAAGGGCGTTAAGGGGTTAACTCCTTCCTTACTTGGAAGTCTTTCTTCAAACTATAAATCTTACTATCCTCCCCCTCTCCTTTCTCTTGTCTTATGTCAATTCTCTTCTTCACATGTATATGGCAATTCCCGTTGTTTCAGCTTTAATCAGATTAGTTTGCTTGATGATGCTTATACAACATGGGCAAAAAAATTTGCACGTTTTTAAAAAATTGCTAGATTATAGATTTTTAAGTTTTTAATTTTTTTTTTTTTTTTTTTTTTTTTGATCTATTATAACACATATACCTTATGTTGCTGAGAACTTGCTTTACTGCTTTAAACAAACGTTTTCAACCTGATCAACAGGCCATCATCAGGTTATCAATTCTCTTGAACACTTACAATTATTCTATATCCAAACGAATATAGATTTCACCCCTGTGTACTGGGTGAAACTTTATTACTTTTCTGGCAGATTGTCAGTGCAGCCCACACATTGACTTGCTGCTGCTGTCAAAAAGCTGCTAATTGTTTTATTACCTGTAAATGAAAACTCTTCCTGGTTGTAAGTTGGTCAAATTACAATGTTGTTATTTTATGGTACTCTAAAGAATGTTTTCTTTAACAATTATTTAACAACTAGTTTTGTTAGATCTGATTAATTTTATTCTTTAGTTGCAGTTTAACTGGCATGCTAGTCTCCCCAGTTATATGTAGCATGCTAATCATTCCACAAAAATATGGTATTACCGAAGCATTGTTCCATCCAGAATTGTTTTGCTAGGTGGTTGATAAAAACTGCCAGGCAGTTTTTATCTCCTTCATATAAATAACCCTGTTTTGTCTTATACAAGGTTATTGACAATTGCTTTGACATCTTAGTTTGAAATAGGTGGCCCTGTTTTGGAATCATTATTATTATTTTGGCCACTTCTTGTTTTTTAAAAATAAATGAATTAATCCGATTTAACTTTTTGTTTCTTAGAGATTTTTATTTTGTGGTGGTTTATACTCATTGACTGAGAGCTACATTTTAATATATATATATATATACACAGTATTATCAATTTATTTGTTTCTACTTAAGAAATTAATAACCATTTAAACATGAACTTTGAGATTCTTTTTCAATTTTAATATATTAATTTGTGCTTTGAAATATTGCAGTCAAAGATTCTATTATTAAATTAATTGAATTATAAATAAAATCTATTTTCAATTTATCTCCAAACTTAGAATAAAATTCATATGAAGTTGTGAATATTATATCAAACTTGAAGTTGGAATGATGATTATATTTTAAAGGCATTATATATTTATGTTATATGTATTGTAATTTTTATATGTATATAAATGTGTTAGAAATAAAATATTTACAAATGATTTTATTTTCATATTTATAGAAATGGGTGTGATGCCTGAAATTGGTAAAGCTGTAGATGAGATGGAGTGGTCGTAAGTATTATTTTAATTAAAAATTAAAGATTTCTTATTCTTAAATTTACTAAATTTTATTAGAAAATATATATATATATGTTTTGTAAAAATAATTACACATGAAGAAAAAGCTGTTGAATTTTTTAAAATTAAAACACCAGAAGAGTTATTGAAGTTTCTCAAAAAAGTTTCAATTTTCTAGTTTTTATTAGTATGTACGAGGTGTGTCCGGAAAGTAAATACCGTTTTGGAAAAACTCACATAAAAAATCTTTTTCAAAAAAAAATTTATTTTTGCATGGAAGAGCATGTTGGAAGCTNGTCGGAAACTATTTTTCTACATAGTTACCACCATTGTTCAGACATTTGTCATATCGGGAAACCAACTTGTCTATACCCTCTTCAAAGAAAGATGCCGCCAGTGAAGACAGCCACTGCTGAACATTGATTTGTGACAATCTCATGCAAAACAGTTTTTGAAATTTGTGGAAACTCATCACAAAGCAATCTTATTGTGAACCGTCTGTTTTCAAGAATTTTTTCATTCACTTTTGCAACCAAATCTTCATTGACGACAGAAGGCCGGCCATTCCGTGCTTCGTCATGAACATTGGTGCATCCAGCATTGAATTGTCGAACCCACTTTCTCACAATTCCATCACTCATTACATTTTCACCATAAATCTCTACAAGTTGACGACAAATTTCAACTGGCTTAACATTCTTTGCGTTCAAAAACCATATTACACAACGCACTTCACAGTCGGCGGGATCGGCAATCGTCTTAAACATTTTGAACGCTCATTAACACATGGAAAAACATCACAATCTGGCTGTAATGGCGTCACTGGACTGACAATCAACCAGACACACGTGTGCACAGGTGCTGAACTGCGATACTACCGCTGCGGTGGCGGTAAAACGAAACGGTACTTACTTTCCGGACACGCCTCGTATAACAATATTGCATTTTCTCTTTACTTTCCAATATTTGTACTGCTTTAGTAGTTTAAATTAGAAAGAAAATTATGTATTTTCTACAATTAGACATCATAAAAATAGCTAAATAATTATGCTATCTGTACTTAAAATATTACTAAAACATGAAAATTTTTCCATATTATTACTTTTCCATACTATAATAAACAATTTGTTTTGGGGATTCCTTGAAATGCACTTTACAGAAAAAGTGCATTTCAGGGAATCCCCAAAACACATTGTTTATTACAAACTCCTCTAAAACCCGATACATTATATTACTAAAAGCCAACCAATGCTGTATGTCATCGGTCTAGATAATAAATTATGAAACAATTTGATACTAGAGGGAGGCATTAGATACCATCTTTTAATAACTTTAATAATTATAATTATAATTTTAATTAAATAATTTAGAATAACTGGAAGAAAAGAATCGGCCAGAGCAGGACTCAAACCCACAACTGCTGCTTACCGTTCAGATGCATTGCCAGTTATGTTACTTGGACCTCAAGTCTGATCTTATCTTCCAGTATTATATAACATCTGATTAGTAGTCAACTGATTTATAAGTAATAAACCAGTTGACTACTAATTTCTCTTCTTTAATTTCATTTTTAATATAAGATATAATAGTATCAAATTATTCATATTTATACTAAAAGTCCAAATTGTGTTTTTTTATTAAACACTAATTTAAGTACAGATTTCAAGAGTAATAATAGTGTATTTAAACAGGGGTGCACAACCTACGGCCCGCGGGCCACATATGGCCCCTTATCAATGTTTATGCAGCCCGCCCGACCGTACAGGCCAAATCCCTTCTTTCCAACTTTCTAAGTGTAGAACTTTTCCCTTTCACAAAGTCATTAGCACCCAACTGTTTTATAACTTTCCCTGAAGTGAGAAATGGGGGAGTTGTTCTATAAATAAGTCTATTTCTAGCTAACACTTTCTGGTTTAGATATCTAATATTTTAAGTCTAATACATAGTATTATAACGATTTTTTGAAGAATCAAATAGAATAAAATGATGTTAGAACGTCATTTCCGATGTTATCGGGAAGTTTCTATTTTGGCGGGAAATCTTCAATTTTATGCTTCGGAAAACTTGCTTATTCGTCTAAATAGCGTCAAATAACAAAAATAAGTGAAAATAGCGCTGAAAAACCATGAAAATAACGATTTTTTAGCATTTGTTTACATTCTAGATTCTGATTGGTATAGTCGAATTTGAATCAATCTTTTCTGAAAAGACGCTTATTCGTCAACCTAATGTCATTCAAACTAGAAAAAACTAACCAGAGTTCAAAAAGAAATGTACAAAAAGCTATAACAACCAATAATTTACAACAATATCTCTCCATAGACTAAGAATAGAAAAAAATTTTTTCGCATCAAATTTATTATTATTAAGTTGGACCAAGAAAATTAATACTGTAGTTGGAATAGAGTCATTACGACTAAAAGGAAGCCATTTGCATTAAAATATTTTGGATTTAATAATTATTACAAACCGCGTCAAGCCATAAACTTGTCAACAAAGAGGGTTGTAAAATGATTCCGTGTAGCTAGAAAGCTGCGGTTTTTTTTGTTTGAAAGAAAACAGATATATTTAGGTTATTTAAGTAGTAAATTAATTGGAACTTTTTATTTACTTTTATTTTTACATTCTTTTTTTCGTAAATTTAAAATTAAATTATTATTTTTAATTTTTATTTTATTTGAAATTTAACAGTCGTAAACTGTGATATATTTAGGACAGAAAAAAAAAAAAAATTGATTCTAGCGCCAATTTGAAACGAGATATCGCAATTTTAATAATTATATTTAAAATATTCAGATTTTCCACTGCACTGTGTTAATCACTTTTGATTCATTTCTGAACACGGGGGTAAAACTGACGGGCCATAAATATAATTTAGGTAAGAATGGTAACCACATTTATGATGGATTAGTGTCCTGCACCTGGCATGTTGACGATCTGACTCACAAATTCTGAGAAATGGTGGAGACGCCCGGACAGGGGTCGAACGAATTAAGACCTGCCTGGCCACGTGTGCGTAATAGTCTTCTGTCCCCGCCTCTTTAGTCTTTGGTCAGAGTGGATACAGAACAAAGCACGTGGTAGTCTAGCTTGCCTTATCTCAAACATGATTTGTTGCGGGCCTCAGAATTTTCGGCACAATGAGACATTGTTTTGCAGAGTGAACAGTATGGCGCCGGGCATTAAACGCAAGGTCAATCGCGAGAATCATCAGTTTCAAGAAGTGGAAGTGTGGACTAACAAGTACTGTTTTGTGCAACAGAACAACAGCATTATTTGCCTTTTGTGCAATGGAACAATAGCAGTGCCAAAAGAATTCAACCTGAAGCGACATCATGAAAGCCAACACAAGGATTTCCTTCTGCAAGGTACGGAACGCAAACGGAAAATCGAATCGTTACGACGATCACTAATCAGCCAACAAAATGTGTTCAAGAAACAATCTGGAGAATTGGATGCGGCTGTTGAAGCCAGCCTAGAAATATCTGCTTTAATAGCCAAGAATGGGAAACCTTTCACAGATGGCGATATGATAAAAAAGTGTCTTATCATCGCAAGTGAGATGTGTCCTGAGAAGACAGTGTTTTCAAACAATCAGTCTTAACCACATGACGATACAACAAAGAATCTCGCAAATTGCATCAGACATTTCTGGCCAACTTAATATTTTAGTTGCAAACTGTGCTTATTTTTCTTTGGCTGTGGAAGAATCCACTGACATATCATCAACAGCACAAGTGATTGTGTTTATTAGAAGTGTTTCACTAGATTTTATTGTGAATGAAGAATTTCTTGGCATGGCATCACTTTCTGGACATACAACTGGTGCTGACTTATTTACTAGTTTATTGAGCGTTTGCAACAAATCAGCACTGGACTTTGACAAGCTATCCAGCATTGCCACCGATGGAGCACCATCTATGGTTGGATGTGAGAATGGCATGGTCACCTTGCTGAAAAACCACCTTGGGGACAGGCAAAAGGAGTTAGTCCAGTATCATTGCATAATTCACCAACAGCAACTTTGTGCAAAGAAGCTGGGATTTGAACGTCTGCTGAAAGATGTATATGATACTGTGAACTTAATCCGCCGTCATGGACTCAACCATCGACTCTTCACATCATTTCTTGAAGAAATAGATGCTGATTATGCTGACCTGCCCACGTATACTGAAGTTCGTTGGCTGAGCAAGGCAACAGTCCTCAAGAGATTTGTGGAGCTATTGGGGCCTATTATCACTTTCCTCAAAGAACGGGGGAACACTACAAGGAATTTGGAGGGACAAAGATGGCAGTGTGATTTAGCTTTCCTTGCTGACATTACTGCTTATCTAAACGACCTTAATTTGAGATTGCAGGGAAAGATGCAACTTGTTTCTCAGTTGACAAGTAACATCAATGCATTTATGACCAAACTATCACTTTTCAAGTCCCACATGCAATCAGAGAACTTTACACACTTTCCACATTGCAAGGCCATGAAAGAGAAATACCCACATATGAAGATGGATTACTCTGACCAAGTTAACACCCTCCTTACATCATTCAATGAGAGGTTTGGTGAATTCCAGAAATACAAGATCTACCTGCAACTTTTTTCAACTCCATTTGATGTGAAAGTGGAAGATGCCCCTCCAGATGTCCAACTTGAGTTGATAGACATCCAGTGCAGTGATGAATTGAAATCACAGTTCAAAAATTCGAATCTCCTCACATTCTACAAAGAACTGCCAGATACATCATTTCCAAAACTGAAAGACAATGCTCAATTTTGTGCAAGCATGTTTAGCAGTACCTATGTATGCGAACAAACGTTTTCGCTTATGAATTTAAACAAGTGCAAAACACGGAACAGGTTAACCAACGAGAATTTGGAAAATCTGCTGGTTCTTTCAACATCTGCCATTACACCAGACATCAAGAAGATTGCCTCCAGCATCCAATCTCAGCCATCGCATTAATCGCTTGGAGGTCCGGCCCCCAGTCAGTAAACT